ATTTTTAGCTCGTCGTTTAAGTAATGGTTGTGAATTACCATTTGAATTTTATGACATTGCATTTTTAGTATCTCAACTTCGAACATTAAATCGTCGTATAAGTCAATGTTTAATAAATCTTCCATGGCCTTATATTAGAAATTTACCTTCATTTTTCTATCGTATTTATGTTCCTAGTTTTGATAATTCTTCATCGATTAGTAATTCGACTTTATACAATTTATAAATGAATTCATAATTTTTCTTTTATCACTTTATCAATGTATAATTATTTGATTCAGTTTTTTTGCTTCATTGTATTGCCACGTCTTGTCTTGTGATTTACCTGTATTGAAATAGTTATTTTGTTGTTATTGGAATTTATTATTCAAATAAATATGAAACTAAAATAAAAGAATCACTCATGAAAGGTTGAGGGTGTGGGTGAATGTTTTATCTCTTAACTGATTCCACAGCCACTCAATTTTCCATTCTTCATTTGACTTACTCAATACGATATGCTCGGAATACTAAACAGCCAATAAGATCGTAAAATATTAGCAAACTAAGTGACTTTTATTTAAAAAGTTTGAAAATCAGAAAATATCTACGATAAAAATAAATTTTTTTTTCATTGATTTATATGAAATACTATAATAAAATAAAACTATACTGAAAAAATAAATAACAAAGTTTTTAAATGATAATTAAGTAAAAATAAATTTATGTGTTTGAGAAAAATCTAAAGCTAATTTTTCCATTGTAAGAACTTTTGAAGTTATATTAAATTTCCATTTATTATTAGATAAATCTTGTCCATTCCATTGAATTTTAATTGGTTGTTCAGTTATACCATAAATAGTAATTTCGTCTAGTTTTATTTGTTGACCCATTTGTGGATATTTATATGTCCACGATTGAATTGATAACGTTTCTTTATTAAAATTAAAATAAAAATAATTATAATTTAGTTTTTGATATGTATCAATTGAATCTCCATCATCCCAAAATAAATTTCCTTCAGCTTTTTCTTGTTTATTCAATGCAATTATTAAATTCATTGGATTTAATCGTGCTTTAACTGTATTCATTGCTGATTGTTGTCGAGGTAAAATTGCTCCACCACGTAAAAATAATGGTAAATAATCATAATCAGCAGTAACATTAATATTTCCAAGTGTTAATTCTTCTTCGCCTGTATAATAATTAAACCATCGTTCATTTACTGATGGTAAATAAACATTTTTGCTTGTATGATTTTCATATATAACAGGTGCAATTAATAAATATGAACCCCAAAGAAATTGTTCATCAATTGACCAACATGTTGAATCATTTGGAAATTCATGTGCCATTGAACGAACAACAGTTCCACCTGAAATGTGTACACGATGAAAAAGTGTATATAAATATGGAATTAATCCATAACGTGTTTCAACAACACGACGATTTGAATCGACTATCGATGGAGAAAAACTTCCAGGATCGTGATCTGCAAATCTTATACCATTATGATTACGAAAAAATGGATTAAATGCACCTAACTGCATCCAACGTTGACACATTTGTTCGGTTGTATTACCTTCAAAACCACAAATATCTGCACCAATATATGGAATACCAAATAAATTAAATTCTAACATTCCAATTATATTATGTTTAAGATGTGGCCATGCAGCTGTATTATCACCTAACCAATGACCACCATATGCGCCAGATGTTGGAAATGTTGATCGACTAATTATAATTGAACGTTTATTTTCTATAGCATGAGTTGCTGGTAATGTTGCTAAAGTTTCTGACCATCCATATAAATTATGAACATCATAATGATTATAAATTTTTCCATGACCATCTCGTTGTTCAGCAATCATACAAAGTGTTTTATCGGATAAAGAATCACCATGTATAGCTGTTTTATATCGAGGATTTTCTAATTGTTCATCCATTGGACAATGAAGATTCCATGGTTCAGCATGAGGCCAATTCCATGGTTGAAATTTATTTGTATCAAAATTAGCTGGTTCACTAAAATATATTAATTATTAGTTTTTCGTTATGAGAGAAGAAAAATATTTAATTTACTTCATATCAATCCAAAGACCATCAAATTTAATTTTTTTATGATAATTTAATATTTGATTCGTCCACCAATCTTTCGTTGGGGGATATAAATAATCAGGAAATACAGATTTACCTAAAATAAATAATTTAAAATTGATGACTTCAAATAAAGTAAGAAAAATACAAACCATATGGCCACACATATCCAATCATATTGTTATTTTTTGTTTCATTAAATTGAATATTTCTTCTTTCAGGCCATTTAATCCAAATATCAGCCTGTTGTCCTTCAGTAAAAACTGTATAGTTTGATTCTTCAGAATCAATAGCAGGATCAAGAATTGTTATAAATTTCATCCCTTGTGTATGTAACCAATCAATATATTCGGGTAAACCTTTAAAACGTATTGGATCCCAAGTAAAATCAAGTTGTTGTCGGAAATAATCAATATCACCATATCTTTAAATAAAATTAAAGAAAAAATAAATAAATAGACAGATAAATCTTTTTCATTACTGAATATCAATTGGAATATTTCCATCTAAAGTTCTTTTCATTGCTGCTTTCATATTCTCAAGTGTATCATAACCATATCGACAAAGTTGAAAACCAAGCGCCCAATAAGGTGGCATAAATGGAAAACCAATAACTAATTGATATTGTCTAATAACATCTTCAGGACGTGGTCCAGCAAAAAAGAATATATCTAATATTCCTCCAATTGTTCGATATGTAAGCATTGATTGATCATTTTCAAATTCATCTAATTTATAATCTTGTGCATTAGAATTAAGTATAAGTACACCAAATGCTTGTCCATCACGTTCAATTGACATATAAAATGGATGTGTGCCATATAAATTTTCATTTCCACCTTGTGGTGGTTGATCACGAGCAAATATTCCATAACGTAAAGAGTTTTGTAATATATGACGAAATGATGAATGAGTATTTTCACCAAAACCTTTCAATAAAACAAAACAACAAAAAATTAAAACATACAAAAATCATCTACAAGTTTTACCATAAACATTTTTCGAGGGAATAGTTGTAATAAACTGAATATATTGATTATCATAAATAAATCCATGAGCAAAATATGATGTATCGAATATAATTGATTGAGTATCTGTACGTTTGATACGAAAACCAGCTTGTCCATTTAATGTTTTAGTCATTTCAAATTGAATTTTTGGTGTTATTGATGTAGGTAGTGTAGATGGATGCCAATGAATAGGTACAGGAACTTCATATCTATCTTTTTCGTCATCACGTATTGTTAAACGTATCATATCTGTACCTGATACACTAACTTGTAAATTTAAGTGATCAATATCATGACCATACATTGAAAACTCATCAGAATCTGTTGTAACTATATTTGTAAGATTTGATTGAGAATGACGAGAGTCGACACGATAATTTATATTTGATTTAGATGTTGAAATAAAAGCTGGTTTTTTTGATAGACGTGAAAGTTTATATTGTGTTGTAGTATTTGATATTTTTTCAATAGATGAAGTTACATAACCACCTTTTTTAGAAGGAATATAACAAGCAGGATAATCTGATTGTGATATTGGATCATAAATACATCCACGAACAAAACATGCATTACTAGTTACATCTAGAAAAAGAAATGAATTTTATATATCATATAATATATAGTATCAATTAACCTGGATCTGGAAAACAATCAACACGATATTTTGGATTTGAAAAAATAATTTCTCGTGGTTCAATAGTCATTGATGCTGTATTTGTCCATGTAAATATATAATTTTGATCCATGGCTAATCCTAAATTATTAATATCAACAATTTGTGTAAATGGTCGTACTTTAGCATAAAATTCTTTATTATTAACATTTATTACTGTTGGAATTGTTTTTAATCCATAAATTGTTACTGTATCTAAGATTAAATTTGACATAAATAAATAATTATTTTCAATCACATTTATTATTAATTGTTGATTTGATGATGACCATTGAAATGTTGAATAATAATAAGATTTTGTTCCAATTGTATTAATTGATTCACCATCATCATAAAATAAATCACCTTGTGCATTACCGTGTGAATTTAATATAATTATTAAACCAAATGGATTGAGTCTATTTAAAAATAATTTTAAACGAAATTTTAAAAGAAATGTTTTTATATTTTACCTTGAATATTTTGTATTATTTGCATATTGTTGTGTCGGAATAATTGATCCACTTCTTAATAATATAGGAATTGTATCTAAGGCTGCTGAAATATTAATAAATTGTTTTGAATAAAGATATTGATCACCTGTATAATAATTAAACCATTCAGATGATGGAATATATACTTGAACTTGTCTTGCACCTTCATCAGTTACAGGTGCTATCATTATATTAGATCCAATTAAAAATTGAAGAAATATATCAAGTGTATTTTTATCAGTAGGATATTCATGAAATAATGGTCGAATAACAGTTGAACCATTGATATGTGATTTATAAAATAATGTATAATAATATGGAAGAAGTGTATAACGAATACGAAGTGCTTCAACCATAATAGAAATAGCAGATGATGACCATGCAGCTGGATCTTGGTCAGGTGTTTTCCATATATTATGCTAAATTTGAGAATGAAATCAATTTTATAGACTGTATTTTCAGATAAATCAGGCAATATCAAATCTTCATATTTAAAAACTTGTTCTATAATAAACTGTACGCTATCAAAAGAAAGATTCTTTTTATACCTATGTACTTATGATTTATGAAAAAGTCCATCTATTATATTAAAATGCGTTTCTGAAATACTATTGAATTCATCTAAACAAATTTGATATTTGATTCAGGATAAGATTCTACTTTTCAATATAATATAATGTAATATTATCATAAACACTTACATTTCGTGAAAATGGATAAAAAGCTCCGACTTGCATCCAACTATGACAAAAAAAATAAACTTTTAAAAACAAAAATAATATTGATTTACCGAATACACATTTCTTCTGTTGGTGTCTTATCAAATCCACAAATATCAGCTCCATTATAAGGTATTCCAAACCAATTAAATTCTATCATTCCAATCAATGATCTTTTCATTTCATGCCATGTTGCTTCATTATCACCCAGCCAATGGCCAGCCCATTGACCAGAACCAACAAAAGTCGATCGAGGTAAAACCATACTTCGTTTACCAGTTATTTTTTGAAGTACATCTAATGTTGGCTTTGTTTGACTCCATCCATAAAGACTTTACAAAGCATTTTATTTAAAAGAAAACAAAAACTAAATCTCTTTATTACCTATGAACATCATAATGACGAAATAATGGTTTTTCTGTTGTTGAATCTATTTCACCTTGCAAAGCTGACATACATAAAGTACGATCAGAAAGACGACTTGTTCGATTGATTTTTCTATCCCATCGATATACAGATTTAGTACGATAAGGTGGATCTTCCCATTGGTTTTGAGGACATTTTAATGTATAATTACTACCTGTTTCTAACCAATTCCATGGAAATGGATCATTCGTCTCAAACAAAGCTAAAGAATTATTTTAAATTATATTCATTATTACAAAATATTCTAACCTGGTTCATTCATATCAATCCAAAGACCATCAAAAGTCAAATTAGTTGATCGGAAATTTGTAATCCATCTTTTCCACCAATTTTGTGTTCTCTCAGTAAAATAATCTAGAATTAAAAATAATTTAAGCATATATTTTCAATTATAAATGAATAAATCTACCTGGAAAAAAGACTGGTCCAGGCCAAACAGCTCCTCGCATTATACTTCCATTATCCCATTTAATAAAAACATCTTCTTTTATTCCTTCAATCGTTGGAGCATAATACTTTTGATCATCTGCCATTCCAGGATCCAATATAATTATTGTTCGAACTCCTTGAGATTGTAAATCTTCAAAATATTCTTTCATACCTTTATAATGAATTGGATCAATCGTAAAAACTTTAGCAGCATCCATATAATCAATATCAGCATATTGAACATCAAGTGGAATTCCAGCATCGAGATTTCGTTTATTAACCATTTGCATATGTGTTAAATTTGAATAATCCCAACGTGATAATTGAAAACCAAGTGACCAATATGGTGGAAGAAATGGTCTTCCAACTAGCCATGTATATTGTTGTATAACTTGTTCAGGTTTTGGACCAAGAAAAACAAAAAAATCTAATATACCACCAATTGTACGTAATGTTAGTGATGGTGTTGAATCAAATGAATAATCCATTGCATTTGAATTAAGTAAAAGAACACCATGCATACAACCTGATGGTTTATCATCTGATGTTTGTTCCATTACAAGATAAAATGGATGTTGACCATAGTGATTAGAATTTGTATCCCAATTTGTTCCTAAAGAATATAATTAAAATAATTTTTTTACTTTCTTCTACGATAAAATGATTTACCCTGATCACGAGCAAATATTCCCCAAGATGGCTTAGCTGTTACATTATGTTTAAGTGAATCATGATTATTTTCTCCAAAACCATAGACATGTGATGATTGTAATCGTGTTATTATTTGAAGAAATTGATTGTTTAATACAAGACCACCTAGTGATGTATCGAATAGAATAGCTTGATTTTTTCGTCGTTTAATAGAAAATGAAATAATATTATTATTTGAACTATCTGATGAATAATTAAATTCATATTTTGGTGAATTAACTCGATTAGATGGTGGAGTTAATGGTATTGGTACCTACAATTAAGAAAAACTGTTAGTACAATACTTGCAAATTTAAAGTAGAATACGATCGGATATTTTTACTTCATATCTTTGTTCATCAGCATCATATAGTTTAAATCTAATAATATCATTTGTGTACTGTTGAACTTCAAGTATAACATTTTCGATTGGATCTGGAAACATACTACCAATTGCTTGATTTCTTTTTAATTTTAATTGAATATTATTATTTTGTTTTGTAGAAGTTTGTAAAATATATCCATAATTAGATGATAAATAACATTGAATTGTTGATGAATTAGCATCATCATCATATAAACAATTTCGTGCTAAACATGCTTCTTTCGAATAATTTGAAAATGGTGATTCACTTTCTGGATAACAATCAATACGTGGTTTTAAATTAAATGATTCATTTTTCTTAATTGTTCGTTTATGAGAACTAACAACTATAGTGACGGTAATAAGAAGAAGAATAACACAATTTATTTGTCTAGATAAAATAAATCTCATTCTTCGAAATGAACATAAACACTAGAAAAATAAATAAAATGAAATATTTATGATAATATATATGATAATCAATAGATATATTCTTTAGACATGCAATCGAATAAATCAATAATTTGTGCTTTCTTCATTCGATTAATTTCAACGAAAAGAGAAACATATGATACATAAACTTAATAACCTTTGAAAGAATTACTATTTTGTATTCTTAATGATTTGAATAAAAATTTTCGAATTTTAATAATTACAGAAGCTTTTAGTCTTAGTCGAAGAACTAATAGAAAGATGAATGTAGACGTAATCGAGTTACGCAATGATCTACTGCCTTTAATAACACAAGCAGGGGAGGAGGTTAAAGAGTGCTCGGACAGCCTCGTTGGAGAAAAATACTTGGAGGGAAAGGGAAACAGGTTTAAAAAACTACTTGCAGAGCAAAGGGTTTTTCTGCTAGCGTGTATCTCCCTTGGAAAATTTCTGACTACGCTATTAAATACAAGGAATCTTTTATTATTCAATTAATTAGTAGAGTTCACTAAGTTGATTCTATTCTATTATATCCTATAGTGATTTTAAATACAACTACAATAGATTACGATGTAATTGGTAAATAAATACTATAGTAATCAACATGATAGAATTTGAATTCTAATTCATAGATCGATGGGTCTTTTAGTCAAACAACTAAAATATATATTCAAAGCCAACACTATCTATTTCGAATTAAGTTACTTGTAGGATAAGTTTACAATCTCAATGAAATATCTAATTTCATTCTTCAGTTGTTTTATTTGATTAGCAAGTGTTATTGAATGGATATATATCCGTAATGATTAAGTCTCATGTCAGACTAGAATAGCTTTATTTTATCAATCATGATAAATAAAATCATTTTTAGAATTAAATAAATCAAAAATTATTCATGTATATATACCTAGATATATTGAATTAATGGTTCTGATTGAATTATATATGTTATTATGTTGAAAGAAAAAGTTTATTTTTGTTTACCTGTTTTTTAAAATAATTTGAAAAATGAAATAGAAAGGCTAAAATCGAACATTTACGCATTATTTTATGATAAGAAAATCTATATATATATTCTTTTGTTTCTCTTCAAAGCGTGAAGAAGTATAATCGATAAGATATAAATCGCGATATAATAAACCAATCATAACAAATCTTTTGTTGATATAAGTTCTATTTTTATCACCCTAGATTTTTGTTTCGAGGACTAACTTAATCACAATAATTTTTTTTAACGGAAAATATTTATTTTTTTTATTTTTGATAAATGAGACTAGAATGTTATATTATCATGCATAAAGCTTATATTATGTGTATATCATGCGTTATTAATGAACAATAAATAAAAAGAATCAATAAATAATTTGTTCTAAACTAATTTGTCATATTTCTTTTTCTCAATTGAAAAAAAAATGCATGAATGACCAAAGAAGACAAAACAAAATATTGCAAAAGCAACACACATATCTAAACATTTAGATGCATTCAAGGGTAAGTGTTTTGTATGTCGTTTCATCGATTTTTACGAATGTTTTTTCTTGGAAAGAGAACATATAAACTTCGCCTTTGGATATATCTGTCCAAAGTGCATGAACTTCTAATTCATTACGATTGAGTCGTTCTTTTAAAAATGGATATGTAAGAAAGTTTTGTAATTGTTCTAATGTATTAATCTAAAATAAATAAAAAACAGTTCTTGTTTTTTTATCTCGATTAGAAAAAGAAATTTTACTTGAGAAAATTTATCGGAAGGTTTAAATTGATTATATGGATCAATATATGCTTCGAAATCATCTTCATAATGTTGTGCCCCATGAAATATAAGTTTTCGATCAAAGCCAGTCGCTGATTCAAGTTTTTTAAATTGTTCAAGTGTTCCTCGTGCATGAAATCTTAACCAATCTTCTAATGGACCTTTTGATGGTGATTTTAAATCATTACGAACGGAATAAAGTAGATTCATTGCTTTACAATCGGAATGACCAATAACAGCAATAACTTGAACTTTATTTATAGAACAAGCTAATTCAAGAGCTCCACATTCACCTCCAACAGTAACATTATTTCGAAAACAATTATGATGAGGCACTAAATTACCTTTATAAAAAGAAAAATACATTGATTTTGACATATGTTAAATATAACATAAAAACGTACAGTACCAGGATTTCGAACTATAAATAATTGACCGGGTGCGGCTTGAGTTATACGAGATGCTACAACTCGACTATCAACACAAGTTAATAAAAGACCTTCTGGCTAGTAAATAAAAACTATTTATTTTCATTCATTTATTTATTAGAAAATTTCTTACTGAAGGTCCTGTTGCTACTTTTTTAAATTCTTCTAAAAGTGATGGTCGTAGTGTTTGACGATATTTTATTATTCCATCAAGAATTCGAGCCATTCCTTTACGTGCTCCAAGTGTACCAGCCATTATTTTGTTCTTTTAAATCTATAAAAGAAAGATAAATATATTCTAATTTTTAATGCTTGATTATGCACAAAAAAATATAAAAATAAAAGCAATCGCTCGGATAATAAATAGATTAATATATCACAAAAAAATCGAAACAAGAAAATGTCAATTATATTGTTGTATATCATAAACAGCTTCTAAAATAGTTGCTGATGACCATGCTTGTGCTGGACATGAATCACGACACAATGAACCATTTGTTGATGTTAATTCAGGTAATGATTTCCATTCACTTGTAAATAATGTCTCACGATGTCTTGCTAAAACTTCTTGAACATGTTCTAAAGTCTCTTTACGCTGTTCAACTGGTGACCATAATAATTTTGCTCGTAAATAATAACCTGTTATCCAAACCCATTCAGGACCATTATGATAATTATAACCATGTGCAAGTTTAAAATCTGACGATTCATTTTTATTATCATAATCTCCATTATATTGTTCATCTGATGGATCAAGAGTTCTTATTCCTAATGGACCAAGTAGTAGAGATTCAACTTGAGATAGTGCCGACCAGATATGATCTTTATTGAACATTTCAGGTGCCTATAAAATATATATAAATTTCAATTTTATTTAGTAGAAAACACTTACAACAACAGCTGCAATAAGAAAATTTGGTCTAAATTGATAATCTGTATATTGAAGTGAAGAATTAACTGTATCTTTATAAATATTTCGTCTATTAATATAATGACTTCGATTACTATGTTCATCGATCCAAAATTCTTTTTCAAAATTTTCATCAATTTTATTTAACCAATCTTGAAGAATTTGTTTTTGTTCAGCATATGGATAAAATCCTTTTTCAATCATTTGAATTAACCAATTAATTGTAGCTCTTGATAATCCAATTAATTCAATAGCACTACCATCTCTTGGTGAACCTGGATATCCTTTATTTCCAGCATGTTCTGATGAACCCATTTTATCCATCCATGTTCCAGAATTCCATCGATTTCCACCAAAAACAAAACCTGTCTTAGAATCAACACCTATTCGATTATTAAAACCTTCATCAGACATAACACGATCTAATTGATAACCAGCATTATATTCACGAAATGATAAACCATTCAAATGAGTATTAATTGCTGTTTTTACTATTAAATGAAGAGGTTTTCCTTGTATAGTTTCCGATAAAATTGAATGACCATTTGGTGCTAATTGAGTATATTGAGAAATTGAATATAAATAAAACCAAATAGCATCTCGAGCATTATAACGAGGACCAGCAAGAAGATTTGGTATAAGACCATGACGAAGACATGAACCATATGTTATAATAAGATGACGAGCATCATCAAATCGACCAGTTAATAAAAGAAGACCACGAAGAGCAATAAATGTATCACGACCCCAATTACGCCATATACCTTCACTAAAATAAATCAAATATTTATTTTAAAGAAAATAATTTTTTCGAAAAATAAACTTACGAAAAATTTGGTAAACCAGCTGCCATAGATGGCCATTCATTTTCTTTATTATTATCTTCAAAATTTGGTAAACGTGCATTTGATACAATACCCATCATTTGTACACTTGTCATAGCTAAAGCTTTAATAAATGATGAACCTTGTTGAACAAATGTTGTTGACATTAAATCAATTGCACGTTCAACACAAATATTATATGTTCGATGAATTAATATATCAAAATAAACTGGGATTAAATATTTTGGTAATTTTTCAATGTATTGAAAATATTTTTCATACCATTGACCAATTGATTTGGTTTGTTTATTATCAATTAAACGTTGAGCAAGATATAACATTAACCAATTTCCTTGTTTTAAATGAATACATAATGGATGTTTAATCATTTGTTCTGTTGTTAATGATCTCATTTTAATTAATACAGATTCAATACCTTGTAAACCAGCATAGACAAGTGATCCATGTTCAGGTATTATATAAATTTCATTATTTTCTTCATTTTTACAACGATAAAGAAGAAAGTTTAAATCAACAAGTGAACATTTCGATACAAGTATACGAAATGATGATAATTCATTTTCAAATAATTCTTTTCGTAATTCATTTGATGCATATTTAGTATTTTCTAAAAGATTTACTTGAAATGCAATAACTGTTCCAGGTAATAAAGTTTTTCTATTAAAAATAACTTTTGTCACCGAATTTTCATTTTCTTGTGTTATTTCAACATAACGACATTGATCTTTTTTTACATGTTCATTTATATAAAAATGTAAATCTTTCTCACGTAAACCATTAATATGATCAATATCACGAGAAAATAAATCTAATTTATCTTCATTGTCCAACCAAGATAAATTCATTTCAAATAAAATCTCTTCAATTGTACCTTGAATTATTAATGGTTCAATTTTTTCTTCTTCATTTGTTAATTTAATTGTATCAGTATAACCAATAAGAATAATAGTAGAATTTGTTATTGGATGTTGACGTATTATCATTAAAGTATTTGAAGACAATTGATCAGCTATCATTCTTGTATATCCATCCGATGAAAGACGTGCATGAAGACGATTAAATATTGATTTAGCATATACAAGATTTTTCTTTTTATCATCCGTCCATTTTTCATATGTTCGTCGTTCATGAACAACATCAATATGATGTGGAACAAGTTCATCATAACCACGATTTGATCCTGTTGGTGTACATGACATTGCAACATATGCTGATCGAGGTAATACATCAGCTAATGAACGACGTTCAATTGGACATGGATTATCATGTGTTTGATCATAAAAAAATGCTTGTGCACGGCGTGGTAGTAAAACTGTTTGTAAACGAAATAGTGCACCAATTGTTAAACGACCATGACCACATATCATATGACCCAAATCACATGGTAATCGAGCATTTAATGATTCTAATTAATAGAAATCTTTTATTTTATCTTATGTACGTATCAAATAAAATAATATCATATGCATTTATATGAAAATAGGACTCATTAAAGTAACTGATAAAATAACTTTAATCTTTGTTTGACAGTTTTCTAAAAAAGACTTACCGCGTACAAGTGCATTGATACCAAGTTTATTAATAAATGTATTATCGAGTGTTTCACTACTTGTAAATAATTCACCCAAAATATAAAAATTTGGATTTAATTCTCGAGCATAATCCATTAAATACTTGAAATATACATGAAATAATTTAATATATTATTTCATGTTGAGAAACTTACTTGAGCAACAAATAATGGCGTTGAATGACAATTATCTAATCTTGCTCCATGAAATGTTGTAGCAATTAATCTTGTATATTCTTTCATATAAGCCCATAGATGTGGTGAATCTTCTTCACAACTACCAAAATTTAATTTAACAATATCAGACCATTGATTTAATTCACGTCGAAAGTAAACATTTGGTCCTTGTGTATCTTCAGCAAAATTTCTTAATGGATTATCATTCATGACCCAACCATTATGTGCCATAACACGTTCAAGAAATTTTCTATCATTATTATTATAAGCTTGTTCAACTTCAATTGGACTTGTTTCAAAAATTTTCTCATGTGGATATGCAAAATAATTTCCAGTAAATGGTGTTTTAGGTGAAATTGTCGTAAAATGTGGACCATATGGATCAAAAAAATGATATTCACATCCTTTTGTACAATTTTCAATAGCACGATTAAGATCTGCTTGAACTTGAGAATATTTTAAATGATTTAAATACATTAGACGATCATTTAAAACTTGACATGCTTTCATAGGTGTTCGATCAGCACGATAAAATATTTCTCGAGCTTTTTTAAGATTAATTCGTGCACCATAACGAGTATAAGATCCATAATCAATACGAAATGCATATTCTTCATCATAATTATGTATTGAAGTTGATGGAATTTCATTTTGAATTAATTGACTAAACTCATCAATTGTTTTTTTTACATCGATCATATAAAATTCATGTAATGCATATTGAGGTAATATTTCATTCAAAAGATAATCTTGGATCACTGGTAAATGTTCCTTTTCAATTTTAGCTGGAATTTTTTCAATTTTTCCTTCGTTAACATCACGTGTAAAGTGCATAAGAATAGCATCAAGTAAGAAAGCTGGTTTTAAATGTGGTGAATTAATAAGATTATATGAAGCTTCTGGATGTTTTTCTAGTATAGCACAATCATTAGCTGCATGATTATAAACAAGATCTGTTATTGATAAAATATTCCATTCATTAGCCATTTTATCAACAATTTTTTTAATATCATCATGTGTTTTATCTTTACCAAATAGTAAATTTAATTCATGATGATGTGTTATAGAATAAGATGAATTTGATACTTTATATAATTGTTGTATTGGTGTAAAATGAATCATATTATAATTACTATGGTAAGCAATAGCTAAACGAGATTCCCAATCATCCATTTTTCCTAGTGATTTAGATAGAACAGTTAAACACATAATTTCATCGGAATCACTTGAAGGTGAAATAGCAAGAGATGGTTCAACGATAAGATAGCCTTCGCCTTTTTTATCTTTAGCTGTAAAATAATAATGAATAGGACCAGGACGTGTACAAAGAAGTTGTGCAAAACGATCATCATTTTTTGATGACCATGTCAATTGATGATAAACTCCACGTTTATAATTTGTCGAATGATAATCACAAAAAAGTTGTACATCATAAGGAGTTAATGATGATGCTAATGTAAAATGTAAATGTGAATTACTTGGAATATAATATATTCCAGGTGAAGTTAAATTTACATGTGTATCAAGAACAAGTGAATGAAAGCATGCAGATACAGACGATGTACGTCTACGATGCATTATACTACAAGAAGAAAAATGACGTACAAATATAAATACGAAATTAGATTTCAAGGCATATTTGTAAAAAATTGCCTATCAATTTAATCTTCATATGAAAGAAGATTGAATCAATATATATGAGAAACTAAAATGTTCTTGAATATCCGGACATAAATCTAGAAAAAAAGAGAAAGAATAAAAATATTATCGAATAAAACTAAATACGAATAAACAGAAAACCAATAGAAAGAAATATACGTAATATTGAAATGACGCGACATCTATAATGGAAACAATAGTATTAAGTTCATTTTCCACGTAAATATCTTGACGACCGATTGTTAAAAGGTTACTTTTTAGTTTCCATTTTTAAAAATTATACTTAGGAAATTTTCTTAAATTTTCATAACTAAAGCAATTGAATTGTGAAACAGTATATCAAAAATACAATTACTTAGCAACGAGTCAATATCCATTCAGTCGGATGGCAGGTTTTTTAGAGCTACGTCGTAATTCTGAAAAAATTCTTGTTGAACTTGAACATTTAGCAAAGTATATTACATTTATTTCTTAATTTTATTTCAATATTTCTATTCTAAACTATATAGGGAAGCTGAATATGCTCGACAACATGAAAATAAAACTGCTATAGTTATTCAATCAGTATGGCGTGGTTATCAAGTTCGATCTCATGTTCAGTTTGTGATCTCAATTTAATTTAATCTACATAGTACATAATTATATTTACAGATTTTTAAATAAATGTGCGTCGGTAATACAAAGATGGTGGCGAAGACATAAGGCTAAACAAATCTATCGAGACAAACTTGAAGTATAGTAATAGAATTTTAATAAAAATTATATTAATCTAACCTTATAGGAACATGTACTTCAACTTCGATTAAACTATTATGATAGCAAAGCAGTGAAAGTATAAATTGTTTTTTTTCTTCTATTATATTTAAGAAAAAAAATTGTTTTCAAATATTTAGATTCAAAAAATATGGCGTGGTTATTATGTACGTAAATATGTGCTCGATTATTATAGTCGAAAACGATATCTCAATGGACTTGAAATAACAAATGAACAAATTCGGTATTTTTTTTCTTTTTATAATACACTTCATATAGAATTTTGTTTTTTATTAGAATACAATTAATTGAATATCGAGATTATCTAGAACAAAAACAACTTGAACAACAACGTCAAATGAATATAGCTAAATTAGAAGAAGAAGCTAAGAGAACACATTATTTAGTCAGCACAAAAGTTGTACCTGGAATATACAATTCGAAATATTTAGAGTAAAATATATTATAATCTTATGTTCTATTTATAAACTAAAATCTATTTGATTAAAGAGCTCCAAAAGAAATGGAAATAATATTGAGATCTACAAAATTTGATCGACCAAAAAGAACGAAATCTTTGAAGGTTAATAAAGATGAAGAAATATCAGCAGTAAATAAATTTCTTCCACCACTTAAACCGAAACCACAAGTATGCTTATTTTTATTTATATAAGTTTTTTAATCTTCAAAGAAACTGTCTAGGGTCCTTTTCGTGCACCAGAAGATGTTCGTTACCAACGTTATCGTCCATTACAACCATCATTACGATGTGAAACTGATTATTTTGCAACAGAAAAAATACGTGAAGAAATTAAACTTCAAGAATGGGTCGAACGAGTTCATGATGACACGTAGATATTTTAAATTTTAATTAAATATCAATAGTTTTTCTTATATCTTTTTAGATTTAAAGCAGGTCTTTTTCGTGATAAACCTTATCCTCGTCTACTGGTTGGAGAAGAACCGTTTGTAGAAGCAACTAAACTTGAACGACTATCATTACGAGAACCTAATAAACAACAATGGATAAATGAAAAGGTTTTATTTTGTAAATAATTTCCAACAAGTAATATGTATTTTCTTTTTTTCAAGGGTTTTCGATCATTAGTTCATGGTATTCCAGAATTTGATAAACTTGAAACAACTTATGTTGAACCTCATTTTTATTATTCAACTTCATAATTCTGTCTATCTTTCGTTCTCTCACAAAAGCTTTTTTCTATATATATTTTTCAAATTCTACGATAAATACATAATCATTAAATGGCATTTTAATGTCAAAACGAATATTTAGAATTTCTCTCACTTTATTGAACTTATTACTTAAATATCCAAACATGGTTATGAATTCAAAAACAAAAAGTACAATCGTAAAATATGATTATATACATCATCAATTGTTATTACTATTTTTATTACATACAACAAGTTTTTTGTCATTTCACTATTGCATTAATATAATTTAATCTATATATCACAACAAAGTTCATTATTCACATACAATTGTCTGACAATATATAAGAATAATAATATTTCTCAATTCAACAAATCAGTACGCGCTTTAAAAACTATAAGAGAGATCTGCAAGATATTTATATTCTGTAAAAGATTCTGAATTTCTCAATAAAATCATTTATTTTTCCTCCTAATTGTTATTGAAAAATTTCTACAGACCTACTTTATTTTTATTAACATTAAACGATCATTTATGATATTTATAAAAGTGATTAATATCATGAAAAAATACGAATAACTATACCGATTGACCTAATAACAAAAAAATATAATGATATAGTTGACCATTATCACGCAATATTATCTACATCTGTCGTTAGTTCATAAAAGATAATTACCGAAGAAGAATTGCGTTGGTGTCATATGCATTAAGAATATTCTCAAAAGCTGTCGATAATTGTTTTTAGGACAAAAAAAAGTATACTTAATAGAAATAAAAAAAAGCGATTAATATTTGAAAATTAGTTATTAAAGTTATTATGCTATTGTATAATCAAAATCAACAAAGTCATAAAAAATCTTAAGATTCTATTTTGATCATATATATATATCATCTAATTACTTTTGTTGACATTCCTTGACCTGTAGTTTTTCTCTATAGACAGTTAATGTTAAAAATAATATCAAATTCATACGACTATAATATATAGAATTTATGAAAATAGTACAGATGCACGCAATAGAAAAAAAACGAAACAGAGGATAATATCTCACAGTCCATGGCTATTGTCTGACAATCGAGAAAAAAAATAAATTTCGTCTAAAAAACCTATCAAAGACTTTTAATAATTATCTATAACCAATGTCGAAATTCTCGTATAATACTTTTAAATCAATAAATTTAAAACTTGTTTTTACCTATCAAATATAATACGAACTTTGAATCCAATATGAAGGAAAATAATTGTCATCATCATATGTATTTATTGCGACGTTTCTTTTAAATACGTTTTTCTTCTCATGTGACTATTGGAAGTTGGTATTTAGTGCTGCGACGAACAGCTGTAACCATTATTAATTACTTTTTTTAATAGAAGTGTTAAAATAGCGTGGGAAAAAAATAATTTTGAATTGATTTATACTTTATTAAAATTGAATTATTTCAAACTTATATCTAATAGAAATATAATGATATATGCTGATTAAATATTATCGTTTCACTAAAAGAAAAACTGTTTTCAATAATAAAAAAAAATAAATTTTGAATTTCAGTTGATATAATTCAAATTAATAATCATATAGTTATATAAAATGAAAATATTTTTAACATAAACGCGCATTTAACATCTTCTACGTTGAATATACTGTACTTAATTGATTTTCTTTTAAACGAGACTTTAAAACATATTATCTAATTTAAGAAACTAATTTTGTGAGTGGGTAGTATTAGAAAAAAATGTAATGATTATTAAATATATTTATAGTAAGTATGATGTATGTTATTCAGTATTCATAAAAATGATTTTTCTGATAATTATCCTTTTAAACAATATGCTTTTATGTTTTTTTCTAGAAAGAAATATGGGCACCAGAAGTTATCATCTTTTGTTTGATATGACAAAAACGAATGTAAAAATAATAAAAAAATGTTTTTAATTAACCATTAATATGGTCGATACTTTTCAATAATAAAAAAAGACATTAAGGAGACAGAAAAACAATTAAGTTAAACGATTCAGGAATCTATATAATAGCGGCATCGGGACAGAAACTAATCACTATTTTCAATCATTCGATCAAGAGAGACAGAGATATAGTTTGTCTCAACATGATCACTGCCGTTGATTATATGATACTAAAGCGTTTATTATCGAAAATGAATCCCCCATTGGTTTGGTTTATTCTTATTCTTACCTTCCTTTCATCTATTCCGGTGACTGGGTAAGTTAATTAAATAATCGAAATGTTTTTTTAATACGAACTAATTTATATTACTATTTAGTGCACAAGTTATCTTAACCTCTACAAAATCGGATGGTAAGAAAATGAAACAAGAAGAATTTATCTATTTAATCATCATCGATTCATACTTAGCACAATAATTTTTATGATGAAATAGAGAAAAGGAGCAGAATTTTTTAGTAGCTAAAAGAAAAAAAATAAATGTTCTTATGTAAAATTTAGTAATTCGACTCAAATAGAAAATCTCTAATACTAAAGAATTCTACGTTTATTAAGAAAAATATTTGTTATTTGTATTATTTTTTATTATAGTCTGCGGATGCAATCAAACAGTGAATCTGCTTGCACGTTCTGAATATTTTAAATTCGACACTAACATTCCTGATGATCAATTGGTTCTTAAAAATTTATTTACCCCTCCTCATAATTTAACATTTATAAGGAGCAATGCTAGCATGACACCAACATTAACATTTTCAGTTACCAAAGGCCCTGTTGATCTTACATCAATACACATCGTTGGTAGTCAAAGTGAATTCATTGCATATGTAACACTAGCCAGTTCATCAGCAAGAAATGGTAGAACAGCACTTGAACCAATTCGATCTAATAAAGGTGTTATTGAACAATGTTTTTATCAAGTATATGGCATTACATTGGAGTTAGCTAATTTAACTGTTTCACCAACACCACAAATGTTTCAAATGAATATAACAGCATGTG